CCCCCCCCCCGCGCCGTATGTCGCGCGCCCCGCGGACGCACAATCAGGGAAGAGATGAAGCAATTCCCCCCCCCCCCCGGCCAGCCAATCTCCCCCTCCCAAGGGCGGAGCCGGCTGTCTGCCCGGCTCCGCGCTCGAGCGCGGGGTGCCTTCTCTTTGGGCCGGCTGCCGCTCGGCGCGTTCATTGGGGGCGTTTCATGCGGGCGCGGCGGCCGGGCGGGTACGGGCCGCCCCTCGCGGGGCCGGGGCGAGGGGCGTTCTGGAGTTTCACGTGATCCCTGCCGGGCGAAAGCAGGCGCCGTGTTAAGGGGACGGCGCGCCCGGCAACTCAGTTAACCCGGAGCAAGGCCGGCAAAAGTGAAGCTGGCCCCAGCCAGGATCGAACTGACGACCTTCGCGTTATTAGCACGACGCTCTAACCAACTGAGCTATGGGGCCTTGCATGCAGGCGCGGGCGCCGGGGTTTTAGCCTCGTGGCCAGTGTGCTGGCCGCCGGGCGCGATGTGCCGGGCTCCTCGGCGCACAAGCCCCGCCGCCCGCGGCGCCCCCTCCCTGTGCCGACAGGGCGCCCCTGCCCATGGCAGCCGAACGGGCACGCCCTCCCGCGTCGGGTGGCGGCCCGGCGCCCGGCGGCACCAGGACCCCGGGCTGCGCCGGTGGGACCCGGGCGGGACGGGGCCACGCGCAGGCCGGCACGCCCGGGGCCACGCGCTGGCGCCCAGGCCCAAGATGCACCCCCCGCAGTCCCGGACCGCGCCCGGCGCCGGCCGGCGGCGTCTTCCCGGCACACCGGTCCGGCAGGCGGGCAGGTCGCCCGGCGGGCGTGGCTCCCGGGCCCCGAGCAAGGGCGCCGGGGCGCGCGGCGAGCCCGGCTGCCAGGCGCCCGATCCTCCGCCAGGCGGCCCCGGTGCCCGGGACCTGCCGCAGCCCGAGCGGGCACGCGCCGCCGACCGGCCGAGAGTCTCGCCCGCCCAGCCGGGCAGCGGCCCGCCCCGGCCCGTGGACTCCCCTTCAATTGGGGCCCGGGCCGCGCGTGCCGGGGTTGCGCGGGGCGCACGCAGCCGGACGCGCCGAGTCTCCCCGGCGGCTGGCCCCTGCCCCTGGGCGGCCTCCCAAAAAGCGCCCCAGCCGCTGGGCGGCGCCCGGGCCCTTGGGCCGGCAGGTGAGCCGCTGGGCCATGGCCAGCGACCGCTCCTCGCCCGGACCCGGCCCCGGGCTGCTGACCGATGCTCGGCGGGGCGGCCAGGCTTTCTCCGCTTCAATGCCCCCCTCCGCACCCGGGGGGCGTCGATGCCGGGCCGACCGGCGCCCCTGGCGGCCTTCGCGTCGTCGGTCCTCCGCCGGGACCCCGCAGCGTCGGCTCGGGCGACGGCCCGGCCAAGACGCGCGTCAGCCCGCCGGTGGCGATGGCCGCGCCTGGCGCCAGCGCGCTTGCCCCTCTCCCGGCGGGCAAAAAAAGGGCGGCCCGAGGCAAAAGAGAAGCCCACTGTGGGGCTCGAACCCACGACCCTGGGATTAAGAGTCCCATGCTCTACCAACTGAGCTAAACAGGCTTGACACATGCGGGCCCTGGGAAAAATAAAACGCCTCGCCCGGGTGGCGGTGTGACGCCGCCTCGCCTCGCCTCGCCTCGCGCCGGCAGGCCGTGCGTGTCATCGATCTCCTTCGCGGCCTGGGCCCGCTGCCCCGGCCGGCCGCAAGGCGCTGCTGCCTGCGCCCGGCCGACAACCATCGAAGCACCCGGCCGGGGTGTGGATGTGCTTTTGCCCGGTCACGGCCGCACGAGCCCGACAGCAGAGACAAAGCCGCCGGCACACGCCGCCGGCCACGGGGTTGCTCGGGCTGATGCAGAAGGGCACCCCCCCCCCTGTCGCCCCGGGGCCACGCGCGTGTGGCAGTGCAAGAGCGCAAGGATCGGCCCGCGGGGCCCTGTGAAGGATAGCCCCACGTGCGGCTGCCGCTCCGGCCGGGACAACGCCCCGGGCGCTGGCGCCGGCGCCCGCAAGCGCGGCCCGACCCGGTCCCACGCCGCACGCGCGTGGCCAGCCGGCCGGCGCGTGCCTCTCGGCATGGCGGCTGCTTGCCGGTGCACGGCGGCCATCCCCCGGGCCCCGGAAGCAATGCCTGCATGCCCTCGCGCGGGAGCCGGCCCACGGCGGACAGGCCACAGGCGGTGCTTCGGCCCCTCCCCGAGAGCCACACCAACCCGCAGCCCGATGGCCCGCACGCGCGCGCGCGAGCCCACCAGCCACTCGCAGGGGGGGGGGGGGGCATGCCGGCTGCGAGAACGGCGGAGGCGCGGCCGGGCGCACGGCACCCCACGCCTCTGCGTCTCCAGCTACTTGTGCCCACACGCAGGGTGCCCATGCATCCGAAGGTTGGATGGCCGAGTGGTTAAGGCGCCAGTTTAAGGCACTGGTGGGAAACCGCGTGGGTTCGAGTCCCACTCCAATCACACATTTCTTTTTTGGCCCCTCTCCACATTTGATTGCGCCCCCCCCCCGCCTCTCCGGCCGGCGGCCGCGCGGTGACCCTCTTCCCGCTCAAGTCCCCTCGCTCTCTCTCTCTCTCTCTCTCTCTCTCGCCCTACCCCCCCCCTTCGCGGACTTGCTGCGTGCCGGCCGAGGGGGGGGGGATGAAGCCCTGTGCCGGTGCGCGGCCCGGCTCTTCCTCCCCAGGCGCGCAATATGTGGCCGTCGGCGCGGGTCCTCCCCCAGTCCGAATGATGTAGATGGTTATCATATCTGTCTAACACACAGAATGTCCCAGGTTCGAGTCCTGGTTCGGACAGGCTTCTCTTTTGCAGCTGGCCCGGCAATGTGCCGCGCACGCACCTCGCGCGCTTCGGGGGGAGGGGAGGAACGCGGAAAGAATAAAAGAAACAACCCCCGGCCGGTCTGCCGAGGGGGGCGGTGACGGAGGGGGGGGGTGCCCCTGAAAAAAGGCCGGGCCCGCGCTCCGTCCCGACGGCGCGCCAGCCCAGGCTCCGGGCCTTGCCGCAGGGCAAAAAGAAGGGACTGACCACGATGCGGCTCGAACACACAACCTCCTGATCCGTAGTCAGGTGCTCTATCCAATTGAGCTACGCGGCCATGCGGTGTGTGGCGCCGGAGGGGCCTAATTTGCGGGCCTTTTTTTGCCGGACTCGCCGACGTGCGGCGTCCGACCGGCGGCGGCCCCGGGGTGTGCTGCGCGGCCCGCCCTCCGGCACCAGTAGAGATCGCGGCATGTCCCCGCCCGCCCGGCCAGCATCCCATGTGTGCGTGCGTGCGTGCGTGCGTGCGTGCGTGTCGGGGTTTGGTTGTATTGAGGTTGCCTTGGTGATCAAATGTACCCCAGCCGGCGGATGGCCTTCAGCTGCGCCGGGATTTCCATGAGGGCGGCCAGGGCGAACGCCGGGTCCGGGTAGGAGGGGTTCTGCTTGACAATCTTATGGAGGTTGACGAACTGGAAGTTGTCGAAGCGCCGGCCGGGCATGTCGTCCTGTGTGCGCGGCCGTGCGTGGGGGTGCATGGGGGTGCGCACAGGCGTGCGCACGGATGCATGGGCACGGAGACACACATGGATGCACGCGTGTCAGTGAGAGGAACACCCCGCCAGCGGGAGGGGTCCGCCAGGGCAGACACGAAGGAACCCCACACCGGCGCATGCGCGCCAACACGTACATAGTGCTTCATCTGGTCCCACGGACCATCGCCGACGCCCACCAGCACGATGCTCAGCGGATAGTTGGACGCCTCGACGATGGCGTCGCGCGTGCGCTTCATGTTGGACACCTGGCCGTCGGCCACAATGACCAGGATGTGGTACTGCGCACGGGGGCCAGGCCGGCACGGGGGAGGTGGCGATGCACACGGTCAGCGGGGGTCGGCATGGTTGGTCGCCCGGCGGGCAGCGGCCCGAGCACGCCCGCACGCACCTGGTTCCGGTTCTGCCGGACGATCTCGAGGGCCACGTTGATGGCCGGCGCGAAGCACGTCGGCCCGGACATCTGCACATGCGGCGTCACATCGATGTAGCGCTGCATGACCTCCTGGAAGGTGTGGCACCCACGCGGGTCCACATGCAGCGGGAAGACACTGAGCGCCAGAGCGTGCAAGGAGGCGGGAGGGGGGGGGGGAGAGGCAGGGGTGAGCACAGGGTCAGGCCGGGCGGCGGCCGGGTGTGTCCACGTCGCGCGCAACGCACCCCACGTCGCGAGTGTTGACATCGCCAAACCCGTAGGCCGGGATGATCTTGTCCTCATCGAAGGATTCTGCAAAAGCCAGGGGGTCAGTGGGCGAGGGGGGGGGGGGGGAGGCAGCGCCGGCAAGCGCCGGCCCAAGGGCAAGCGCACCCAGCGTGGCGCCGATGACATTGATGGCCTGCTGGTAGGGGTTCTGCTGGTCGCGGTTCGGGTCCAGCCAGTGCAGGCACCGGCCACCGAAGGACTCCTGGCCGGTCTGCAAGTTGGAGGCCGTGTAGTCGATGGCGAAGATGAGGTTCGAGGACTCGAGGTTGGCCTTGCGCAGGGCCGCCTGCACGTCCTGCAGGGTCCGGTACTTGTCGGCTGGGCCGGCGCAAGCGGGGGAGTCAGGCACGGGAAGGCGGGCAAAGGGGGGGGGGGCGCGAGGCGGTGCAACACAAGCGGCGGAGGGGGCGCACAGTTGACCCCGGACTTCAAGCTCGAAGAGGAGGAACCCATGGCGTGTGTGTGTGTGTGTGTGTGTGTGTGTGTGTGTGGCGA